CTGTGATTTTCCTTTGGAACAGATGTACGACCACTTAGATATGCATTGGGATATTAGAATCTTTTTAAGGAAATTTGTTTCCTCTGAAGTGCTCTATTTTACTTTGAGATATCCTTACATGTCATGATCGTAATTTCGCTCTGTTCTCCCCATGTACATGTGGACATTTATTTGTATACAGTCAGTTTATACTTCTTGTTATACTAGATGGACTAGGTGATCTCCAGAGGTCCCTTCCAATCTCAACCATTCTGTAATTCTGTTATATTTCCTGTGACACTGGTACATTAATCCCTTGCTATTTTACCTCTAATCTGCACTTCTGAGAGGTACCTGCATCTGTTGGAGGTCTTGTCCTTGGGAAGTCTGCACTGATTAAAACCAACAATAACCTTGTAATGTTTCTCAGTAGCAGTGTTACAGCAAATTGCATGAGGACTTTAATAAGACAATAATAATTTATGTATCATGTGTTGCTACATTGAAATAATTGCATCCAGTTATCCCATTTCACTGAAGTTTGGAGAAAAATCCTACCCTATATTAATACTTCTTGTGCACTAGAACTGTAAAAGATTGATTTTTAACAGTAACAAAGAATTATAAAATATTCTGCAAAGAAATTCACACACAAACAAATTGAGCTCAAAATTAGTGATGCTAAACAACAAAAGCAAGGAAATGCACGGTTAAGCAGGAAATGTACCATATGTTATTGTATGCCAGGGCACAATGGGGACACTATCTTAATGGCTTTCTTAATGTTCCTGTTGTACTAGATATTGGTGGACATATGGTTTGCTACCTGTTTATATGGCTGTGTATTTCCATGATTTTGTTGGCTGACTTTGATAGCACTTTCTATGTGTCTGCTGTCAGGCAAAGGGCTTTAAAATGTTCTACTGGTTTATCGGGGGCTCCAAAGACGTGCTTTGTATTTTATCTTTTCATTTTTAACACACTTTATTTTCACCTTTTTCAAACGCGGTAACATATTCCGTTTATTATTATTAGACTTTCCACAGTTTTGGTCCATGCCTGCCAATAATCTGGAATACTGTTGTGTAGTCCTTCCAGGTACCCTCTTCCAGGGGTCTTGACTCTCAAATTGCTAATGCAGCAGCAGCAGCCCCAGCGCTGGTGCATGTCTGGGACACCCGCCTGGGACACCAGTTCAATTTCCTGTCTGCCCCCAGGGGCTTCTGGCATGCTACAGGCAGAAGCAAATGCCATCATTCCCGTTTCAGTTCCCTCATGCCCTTAGGGTAATGCCCATGGCTGAGGGACATGGCACAACAACTTCTGGCTCCCTCCCTTTTTGGATGCCAAGTGCTCTCAAAGCCAACTGATGCAGACTTTCAGGGGGAAAGATTTCCTTGATTTAGCTTGTGGTAAATTTTGATTCCATTTTTAAATCTGGCCTGTTTTCTGTAATGTTTTGCCTCTGTTTGTCTCCTAAATGGATTTGTTAGGGAGAATAGGAGTTTGGGGTTGTTTGGTTTTTTTGCTTTTCAGAGGTTTTGTTTGTTTGTTTGTTTTATGAGATTTATACAGATCTGTAGTGAACAATGTGCATCATGTGAAGATGCCAATGGAAACGGACAGATGGACAAATTTAGTGCATTAACCAAATGCAAGACAGTCAGTTCCCTTGCTCTATTTAAACAGAAAAAAAGTTATGGATAATAGCTGACGGGGACAAAACAGACAATATTCAATGTATTTGCAGAAACTTTCCTGAAAATTATAAATATTAATTTTAGAAATATTAATTTTAGAAAATTGAATATTAAACTTCATTAGGATTTCTCCTCTTCACTCACTGGTGCCTCTGAAAATGCATCTTTCACATATAATATAACTTTTAGTAGGTCTGTCATGTTTAGACGAACTGCAAGGTAGTAGTTCAGCCTTTTTTAATGCTGTATAGGGAAAGTTGTCGTACGGGTGCCTCAGCCTTCATAAGGCCAAGGGTCATCCCTGCTTTTTTCGGTTCTACAGGTCTGTAACTGCTTATGTCCCACCAATAATTATGGTGGTTATATAAAGAGAACCTATTATCTAATTTTTTTGAGTCTACTTGCATTGGCATACTAACACGGAGATGTTTCTGGACTTGTTTTCTGCCTCGGCCCCCATAGGGTCTCAGGTGGGGCAAAGATGCCTCAGATGATCCCAAATATTTTCATAGTCTTAATGTCCTTGTATTTTTAATATTAAGGTAGAAAAATGAGGATGCCATTTATTATCCAGTCCCCTATTCTTTTTATCTTATGGTATGAAAGCTGATAATACTAATTCTTCTAAGATATGTTTTTATTGGTTATTTAAATTTTTGAATGTAGTATACTGGCAACAATAATAATAGAAACCTGAGTTTGTGTTGTAACATTGCGCAGTGACTTCAAAAATAAGTATCTTGGCCTCTCTGCAGCATCTCTCCATTAGGAATAGACAATTTTTTAAGCATGTTCACACACCTTCTGTAAAGATTCACACTTAAATAGGTCATTATTGCTGTCATATATAATACAGGCATTGAAGTCATAAAAGTGCAGAACTACTTCAGCAGAATTATGAGTATATCTTGTAAAGAAAGAAGAGCAGTTGAGTTAAATGCTTTTGACGTCTATACTTTATACTTCAGGCATACCTTGGTAAAAATTCTCTTAAAGAAAGTGATGATCTTAGGAATTCTTATAGGAACTATTTGTGGATCGTTGTAAACAAGTGTGGAAGTGAAGGGAAGTTCTTATACATTAGCTTCTCAATAGACAGTATGTTTTGTAACTGATCTTTTAAAGAAGATTGTCTATATGCCAGTGATTTCTGACAGGTATATGTTCTTCTCTATAATCATTGAAAGTTCACCATTCTAAGTATTCAGGTGCTATTTTTACTAACAGCCCATGGTATGTGTGACTATATGAATTTAGTGATGAAATAAAAGTCAGATTGAAACTCTCTCTCTTATTGTGCAGATGTTGGAGAGACTATATTAAACACTTCTAATATATTTAAGCAAGAATTTTTTTTTTAAAAAGTAACTTAACTGATCTTTAAAATGTGCTATATATACTCCTAGGGGAACAATATAAAATTTAAGCCCACACGCATGACTTATGATTAATTTTTTTTAGTTATTTTAGTTTATTTTAAAAAATTTAAACTTTTTCTGTTGCTAGTTATAGCGATTTGTGGTTTAGTTTAATATTTTTAAATTAACAACTTTTTATTTTGCAAAATGAATGGAAAAGGAAGGCACAATGAGTGACATTGTACTAATATATTCATAAAAGTGTGTAAGAAGAAGGAGCTGTTAGTAGAACTTACCTAGAATTTTTAATAAGGTAAAGTTATTATAGAAAATTATCAATGTAAGGTAATTGAAAAGGAAACAACCTTCTATTCCAAAAAAGTGTCCAATGGCATTCAGTAACGACAAAAAACTTTCTCATTAATCTAATCTTGTGTATCCAGTTACGACGAGGAATTTCCCAGCTTATTGATTTTTACTGATGTAGAGCTCGGAAATCTGGCTGCATCTATAATGTTTACTGAACATGTTCATTAGTAGACCGAAGCATTATGACGTTTATAACACTCTAAGCAATCACGTTGTTAGCTCAAAGACTTTTATACTCTGGCAGCTTACTTAACCACGAGTGATTTTGACATGTGATGCTGGCCTTTTCGAAGAAAATAAGTGGGCTATCTAGTCTTCCAAATGGTGGTCATATTATTCGAGATATGTATGCGTAACGATTTGACTGTCCCATTCATGCTAATGGGAATATGGTGACAGATATCAAGAAGTAGCTGTGGTCCACCATGCTCCAGAGCTTTCTTAAAACTCCCAGGCTCCACGCCATCTTGTTCAGACATTTTTCCCAAGACTTTTAGGTTCCAAGACTCAAGACTAAAAAAATGGGTGTGTGAATTCCCTTTTCTGAAAACCTATTTGAAAACCTGCCAAAAGAAAGGCAAGAAACATAGGAATTGCACTGTATAGCAGTGGAATAGGCTTGCAACAGGATTTTAATGCAAATACAGAGATGCTGTGGAGGAAATAAGAGATGTATGCCCCTAAGTTTAAAGCACAGGAAATTTTCGGTTAACCATGAGTGAGAAAGGAGCTAGTAATAGACCAAAACAGTTCAGGTCTGCCAGGGTTTATTAAATCATATATAGCACTTATTTGCAGTCTTCTGGGATCGGTTTGTAGTGTAGCTACTTTTAGGCAGTGCTTGAGCTCATAAACTTTGATAAATCTGTGCTGCTCCATGCAGAGCTATTGGGTATCAGTGCACTGCGCTCTGAATTCTGGAGAGTCCTTTAGCTCTTTTCTGATGCCCAACTTCAGTGGATGTTGTTGCTCTGCTGCACGTTATTAGTGAAAGTATGATTTGTCGAAACAAGATATATCAAAAACAATATAGTTTTGTCATGGTTATGTTTTAATGATGATTTTTATGATGATTACATTTTTGTAAATAATCTATCCCTCCTGCTGTTCATATAATATGAAGCCTTTATGCTGGACTAGTGGCTGGAATTCTGTCAAATGAGAGATTTGAAAAAATCTTTGATCTTTTTCGCTATTCTCTGCATGCCCTTCTACCAATAAAAAAAGGCAAGGCTCATGAGTTCTACGTGACTGCTTTAAATCTTGTATCTTGAATAGCAGTAGTACTGCAGTTCAGAACTGTCAATCAATAATAGCTCCTAGTCATCAGAAACTAAGTGAGCAAACGTAGTCTGCTTCTCGCTGTGAAAGACAGTTCCAAGTAATTGCTCTAAAATACGATAAGCTTTTTCCTTCTTTATTAAAGAATCAATTGAAAAGATATCCAATGCGTACTGAAAAATTCTGTCTCATCTGAATTGTAGCGGTCTACTACTGATGGATAACTTTTTTTCTTAGAAGAAATTTGATCTGCAATTGATTTAAATTTAAACTGCTTAGTACTCTGATCACACTTTTTAAAAATTTATTTCAGAATAAAGAGATAGAAGAAAGTGAACTCAGGATTTGGGACCAGACAAAGTTCCTTGTATGTTGCTGGAGACTCCACCAAGACAGTGAATGAAGATGATGGAGATTATCAGAGCCCTACTGTGACAAGGCTAACAGTAATGAAGAGGATCAAAAGACTTAAAGTCTTTATGAAGACTTATAGGAAAATTACCTTGAAGGAGTACATGCCAGACCTATATACATATAAATACTATATGCATTATTTTTATTTGAAATTTGTAGTAAGAATCAAAGAAAATATAATAGAGTCAGTGTATACCAACTTCAGAATTTTAGTCAACAGATGTCTTTTCTTCCTCCCCAGTTGTCTTAATTACTGGCTTCTAAAGCAAAAGGTGCACTCTAATGTGGCCCATATTTTATCTTTGGGAAAAAAATAATTTAAAATCTACAAGGTATAGGAGAGAGAGTTCAAATTCTGTTCTGGGAAGAAAGTGAGACTGAGGTGGAAATTAATGCACTGTTCCTTGCTTTAGTGCTGGGGGGGGGTAAGAGAGGTTGTTTTGTTTTGTTTTTTTGTTTGATTGTTTGTTTGTTTAAAAAAAAAAAGAGCAAATAACTCCAGTTCTCTGTTTCTCAGCTCTACCAGGGTAACATAGGGATTATGCCTGTCTTTCATAAAAAAATTGTAAAATTTGAAGAGATCCTTATATTAGAAACATATAAATATTATTACTTATACATTTAGATTAAGAAATTCCAACTTCTCTTTGTGTTTCTTATACTCATGACTCAACAGGAATACATAGAAATGATGCATCTCAAGTCTCTGTTTCTCAGCTCTACCAGGGTAACATAGGGATTATGCCTGTCTTTCATAAAAAAATTGTAAAATTTGAAGAGATCCTTATATTAGAAACATATAAATATTATTACTTATACATTTAGATTAAGAAATTCCAACTTCTCTTTGTGTTTCTTATACTCATGACTCAACAGGAATACATAGAAATGATGCATCTCAAGTTTATCTTAACATCATTTTAATTTGTATTTGAGTTTCTTAATTATCTGTGTAAAAAATGTAAATATCACATAGGAAGTAAAATGAGTATATTAAGATAAACCCAAAAAGTAGATACTGAGAGTTTTAGGTATCTCTCCTTTAAAAAATCATGACTTACTTATAAAAACACCAACAACTTTCAGCTGTCAGGTCAAACAAACTCTGTCAGGTTGCCATATAGGGCTGTTAATGAGTATATACAGATTCTGTTTCACAAAGATTCTATGAACTTTGACAGCTCAGCAACACACTTGTTTCATACCTTATATCCCTATAAATTGAAAACTTCTAAAATAATTCTAGATTAGAGTTAAAACCAGCAATATTTCTCCTCTCACTAATACACTGCATGCTCCTTCTGAGCCTGCTTCATATATCCTATGAACACCTCTTGATTTTTCTTGGAATTTGTGTAAGACCCTACAAAAAGAAATGATTATTTACACAATTGGTAACCAAGCCATGGGACTCTTTCTGGAGACAATCTGTAGACTGTTAAAATTTGTGTAGGTTTAAAAGCAGATTGGGTAAGTTCACAAAAGGAAAACGTTAATGGTCACTAATTACATGGGAATCACATTTTGCTCAGGAATTCCCTGAGCTTCAAATAGTTGGAGGCTGGCATCAGCCAGGAGGCTTTATCTGTTCTGATGGTCTTCTCTGAGCACCTGCTTTTGGCCACTGCTGGAGATGGGATGCTGAACAAATGATTTTTTGTTTGACTCAGTATGGTCCTTCTTAGGTTCTTAATCTTTTTTCATGTTTACAAATGCTGGCCTGCTCATCCCAGCCATTATATCTCAGGAGATGCTAGGAGTGCATGATGAAGGAACATCAGTGGCAGCTGTGGTATCTGCAGCTGATACATGTTTGTCAGTGAGGTGTAGAAATACTGTGAGGCAATTACTTTTTAAGACACAGGTTAAACATTTAAAATTTATAGGAACTAACAGTGAAAGAAGATTCACAGTACTTACTCTTCTAATCCAAACTTCCTATCTTATCCTCCCTTTTTTAGCTTACTGATTTAGAATTGTGTATGGTACAACACAAGATGAACCCTGCCCTTGTTCCTGGTATTGTGAAATGAAGCACTGATTTTCTCTAAAACTCCATCTACTTTTGCTATGCTAACATCTTCATCACAGCCCAGCGAGCAACATGGCAGTATTGGAAATGTCAGTGTGCACAACAGAAATGGAAAGTGCATAATTATTGATTTTCAAATGCTGTAATAGCCAAATGTGCTTCTGTGCTTACTATGAAGCACTGGAAAAATACAATCATGTTACACAACAAGCTTGCTGATAAAAACTTGTATCCTATAGGCTTTAGAGAGCTTTTTTTTTTTCTCTGACAAGGCATAGAAATGTATGTTTTTTAGAGATAAAAGCCTAGGTTTTCAGCAATTGGGCAGAATATCTTTTACGTCCAGGAGCTCTTTTCAGCGTACAGTAATATCTTGGGCTGAAAAATGAAGTCAAGTAACTTTATGAGTTACTGGGGGAACTAGGGTTCTGTCATTCCCCCTCCGTAACTCCAAATATGTAAGAAAAACAAGAAATGTTGAATTGATTTCCTTGATGCTGGAGAACATGTCTGTTTAGACTTGGTAGTCTAAATTAATATGGATATTGATGGAAATCAACAGCTAGGCACCAGTTCCTGCTGCTTTTTCTGTGCCACATAAACTTTTAGCATGTTTATCCCTCACTCCTGTATATTACCATACCTAGTAGGTGAAATATAGCTGGCTGCTCCAATGATCATGGTGGCAATAAATAAATCATCAGATGTCACTCATTTTCAATTTTATATTTCAGAATATCAATATAATATCTTTTCTTTCTGATGAGGAAAGGGTAGTTCATGTTCACAGTAATGCCACACACTTTGTAATCTCTTTATTGATCATACTTTACTTTCAAGGGCCTGCCTCTTAATAATGGTATTCAAGTTTTGCTGTTTGACTGTGATAGATCACATAAGTCACTTTCACTTTTCATAATTTTTCTCTGTTCCCTGAGTAAGAGAAAGCTCAGCTACTTCCCTTAAGTACATAAAATATTTATTTCAGCAACTACTTATAAGTAGAACTTCAGAGCTCTCTATGAAGTAATTCCATAAATTAGTCACTTGAAAGTAAGCCAAAAGATGATAATGATGCATGATTGCCCTGACTGCAGTTGAGAATGTCAGAAAATGTTAATTTATGACCTTTTCATCATAATGCTAGAATGTCTCTTGTTCTTAAATATCTCTCTATAATACTTGCTATGTCTTAGTGCTCCTATCCCATTCCCATACCTCCCTTTCACGATTTACTACTGGGAAAAGAAGACAAAGAGATTTGTTTAGAAAAAGAGTGACTTGCTCAAGGCTGCTTAGGATAAATATGGAAGAGTGGGAAAAACTCCCAACATTAAATCTGGTCACAAACTGTTGAGCTTTTCATCTTTATCTCATAAAAAGAATGGCATGAATAGTTTCTAGGAACTCTCCTAGAAAAGCTTTACAAATCTGATGTTTCTTGTTATTCATTTTAACAGATGACAAATGTTTGTTGTATGTGAATCAGTTTTACAAACTAGTCATAAGCACAGTGATAGAAAAACATGCAAATAATCACCATAACTAGCAAGTTCTGTTATACCTTATTTAATACCATAGTGACAGTGTGGCTATTGTTTCATGTACGTACAAAAGCGTTCAAAGGGTCAGAAAGATAGTCAAGAATGAAGTGGTATGATTAATGTTGTCTAGACATCATCTAGCTGTTAATAGGGAACGAGTGGTTAACACTGTATTAGATGTCCTCCTTCCTATGTAAGCTTCCTATGGTAAAGGCTCAGTGCCAAGTTTGACCATAACCTTTATTTTTTGAAAAATGTTCTCAAGCTCCCTCTACAGTACTTTTGTAAACACTTTTCAAGACACATGGCAAAGCAGTGTGTTCTTACTCTACTATTCACTTGATAAATAGAGTAGAATGAATATGAACAGCATGTGAGCAGTGTCCTGAGCTTTGCCTCCTGTGGGATGGAAACTATCAGAGTTAATTAAACATTGTGACTTTTTCCTTCTGAAGTCTCTACCTCTTTGTTTCCGAAGTTTTACTGCCTCCATGACTTTCATGCCTAAATCTCACCACAGTTGAGGGGTCATCTCAAGGTCTCCTGAAATTATTTTCTGCATTTTTAGAAGGACAAATATTGCTCCAAATAGTAAATTAAAAATAAGCCAAAAAAAAATTATTTCTCAGGAACTACCTAGATTCTAGGATGCCTTTTATCATTCCATACCTTTTCTCTCATGGCTTGGGATAGAGGGTAAAAAAAAATTATTCATCTGAGATAAAAAAGGTGAATTTATAACTTGTACAATCTAAAACAAAATTATCTAAAAATCAACCACCTTATTTCAAGTGATATTCTTAATATGTTCAGCAAATATAAGCATGCTGAAGTGCAAATATGATTTGGTTGACTGCTTTAATCGTGAATAAAATATTTTCCAAGCAATGCCATTTCGGGAGCCAATTGATCATAGTTAGAAAAGGGCCATGGATGAATGCTTATGCTGCAATTAGGTGTAATAATTCTTAAAGTTATTAACATCTGAAGGAGGAAAATGCAGATAAGAAAAGGACAAACAAAGCTATACTATTTATCATTCAGGCTTTGGTTTTTTTCCCCTCGTAAGAGATTCTAAAATGAAGAAGTATTTGTATTCAGTTGATGAGTGAACACTTCAGAAGATAACAGAGGATTTGCTAATCTCATTAACTGAACACAATGCTACAGTGCATGTACAATGTACTATATTTCTGTTTATGAATAAACACTGTTCTTCTGGTCAGATAATCAATAAGAATATAAATGGATTTGACATGCAGTGTTGTATGTAGCTTCGCATTACATGTTGCACTACTTCATTGGGAACAGTAAGAACTTAAGAGGCACAGCTTTGAGAGATTTGAAATGGCAACATATTTCTGAAGGGTATTGTAGTAGTTCTCTAATGTCCTGTAGGCATTGATTAGAGCTCAATGAAACCAAGAAAACTTCTCAAAAAAATAGATGGTGTGGAGTAGTTAGTGCCATGGTAATTTCTAAGAAAAAAAATTAGAAGTCAGAATAAAGGGGGAGCTCAGATTTCATTGACGTCTACCCTTAAAAAAACAGAAGTAAAGATACACAGCATCTCGAATGTTTTTCAACATATCTCAGACATGTATTTTGAAATGTTCATATTTAAAAACAAGCAAAAAAAAATCCCAACTCTTCTTTGACATAAGACTATAAAATTGTATGATTAATCACATCTTTTGTTCTTGCCTTGCTGATTGCTAAGTCTCCACCTTATTTTACTCTCGTTAGATATTAACTCCCATGTTGTTAATAATTATATTGAGTGGAATAGGGAGTTCAAATAGTTTATAATATTTAATGGAACAGCAATTTGTTTTCCAATTTAAATTGCTTATAAATGCTTACATGTACTTAGGTATAAGTAATCATTGATCAGATTCTCTTTTTGCAGTGTGTTCTTGCCAATAGTAAGACATTTGTATTTGGAGCCATTTGAACAATTGATAAAACCTAAGTCGGAGCCAACCTTCCCCATTGTCTTAATTTATTAAACAAAACAAATTTGTGTCATTATCGTTCTATTGTTGTGATCTTTTACAAACCA